AAAGCTAGGCTGTCTCTACGCTATACTTGAGTAACAGGAGCACTTGGAGGGGGAAAAAATCATCATCAGCAGCAGGAAGAATGCTTTTCATGCTGGGAAGCAGCCAGCAGAGGGACCCCAAATCTCTGCCAAGCTTCTCGGCTCAGCAGTCTGGCAGCTGGTGGTTCCTACCGGGTTTAGGATACAGCCGAACAAGGAAAACATTCTGGAACAAGTCAGCAGTTGGAGCTTCCTCTCTTGCTGCTTAATGAAAGCCATGAGCCACTGATGACAAGTGTCTGGTGGAGCAAGCTGGAGGTTTATGAGATTCCCGCCACGTTTCACAGCGACGGCAGCATGCCTTCACTCTGGCTGCCACAATCCTGCTAACCACTTCCTTCCTGACAGCCACTCCTCTTAGAGGGCTTTCGTTTCACCAAAGCTTGTGGGGTGCGAGAGGGCTGTTGGGATGCTTCTGCTACTCCCCCCCCGCCAGCCCCTCTCTTGCTTCATCAAAGGGGCCTGATGAGAAAAGATTGCCACAATGTTCAGTGCAGCAAACGAACAAGGCCAGGCCTTTCATATCTTGTTGAGATTAGCATCTCCCTCACTGGAAATCTCCTTGAAGGGAGCCAGGCACAGCTGCTCCTCTCCCTCTCTGCTGCAAAAACAAAAGAAGCAGAGCTTTCCCTCTGCCAAAACTGGAGGGGATAAATCTTACCCGGCAGTGGCTCCTCCCTGCAAACGAGTCGCACAGTCAGAGGAGCCCGGCCTGTTGTCCAAGCCCAGAAGGAGCGGACACACCTCAGACATTTGTATACTTGGGGGTGGGGGGGTTACTTCTGTGGCTCCAACCATCGCCTTGGCCCCAAGCCAGGCCAGCCTAAGCAGATCAAGCACTGAGGGCAGAGGCATGATTCTGATCAGAATTCACTTTCTGCTGCAAAGGAAAGCCAAACTTTGCAGGCAGAACATAATTAGCCGCTAGTGGGAAGATGAAGCCCTTTCTGTTTCACGCAATTGCTGCTATCACTCTCACGTGAGAAAGTGCACACTTCCTTCCACACACATCCCTTGCATATATGTAATAATTCAGTACCCAAGAGACATGCAACATCCCTGCGTGACTGAACAGCCGCTTAAGGAAGCCAAGCTGCAACTGCACGGGGGATCCCTGGCCCTTAAAAAAAATGCAGTGCAGAGATTTTGTTTTTGGTAAGCTGTGCTTTAACAAGCAGCAGCTGCAATGCCAGGATGAAGAGAGAGTGGCAGTGACTCTTCTCTCTCAGCCAGCCCTGCCCCGGACCTCCTCTGCTTACCAGTCTTACCTTGAGCAATTTTACCCAAAATCCCACACAATAAGAGTCACAAAGGCCACACCGGAGAATTCCTTTTTCCCTGCCCCACTTCCGATAAAATCTTTAGCCTGTTATCTGCAGGCCCCTCTCTGCTCCAACTCCATTGCCTCTGAGTCAACCTGCTCTTCTTGTAAGACTCAGCCTCTCCAAGTCACCAATTCATTAACCACTGTCTTGCTTGGCAGCCCATGATTACCCATTTCTTCTAACTTCTCTTCCATCCTCAAGTCACTTGTCTGGATCAAGGCAGGCAGTAAGAGAAGGCATCGAAACAATGATAGAGAGAAAGGGGTGCTTTAAAAAGTGCACCAAGCAAAAGGTGGACCTGATTTAGGCCAAGGAGCTCTCCATTTTCTATTTACTATCCCTCCTCCCCCTCCAGGCTGACTGGCCTTTCTGATAAGTTTGATTCCCAAACATTTCTTCACTTTGGAAATTGCATGAAGCACAACATGTGTGGCACATACGTCCCAAAGAATCTACTAAGAGGAAAAACTACCTCTGATCTCTTCTCCCAGCAACATGTGTTTGGAGTGTGGCACATACGTCCCAAAGAACCTACTAACAGGAAAAACTACCTCTGATCTCTTCTCCCACAAGCTTTTTACAGCAGAAGAGGGCTCCAACTGGGCCTCTGTCTTTCAATAAGATCTTGGCACAAAGCACACTACGGGACAGGTGGGTTTTTAATTCAAGGCTGGACAAATGATAGACTTGAGTATGGCCAATGTATTGCCTCTATGGATATGGACGTCAGTAAGTATCTAGAAAGCTGCAACAAGTTCGCTGCTTCACATGGTTAAGGATGAAGTGGGGAGCGACAAAGCCATGCACATTGCCTTCAGGTGACTGGTGGGGTACAACTGCAACTGAGGAATACGTAACAATAAAGAATAACAAGCTGCTTGCCTTCTGACATAGGGACAGCATTACACACATACCCACGCCGCTTTGCAACTGATCAGACAAAGTTCAGTGTGATGAGGAAAGCTGTGCTCAGATCTTGTTCCCACTTACCAGCATCAGGAGCTGGGCACTTCTGGATGGTGAATATCTGGCCCAGGTCCTCCTCTTCCTCAGGAAGGCCCTTCTGCAGGCGCTGCAACTTCCGCAAGCTCTCACTTCGCTGGTGTTTCATGGAGCGCACATGCTGGATGAGATTCAGCTTGGCCTTGGTAGAGTAGTTGCAGAGAACACAGTGGTAGTAGCAGCTGCTTTCCCCCTCAACGCCACTCTCATGGTGCTGGAGGTGCTGCAGAGAGCAGAGCAAAGGAACAGGTGAAAAACAAGGATTTATCTGGGAAGAATACCACTCTGGGCCATAGTGGGAAACCCACCAAGATCCGGGGGACCCTCAAGGGCCAAAGCAAACATTTGTCACATTGAACGAGAGTCCCAAAGGCCTGGAGATGGGGGTGAAAAAGGTGCCAAGGAAGGCAGGAGAAGGGGGACTTATAGACAGTAGACTTGTCCAATTATTTTTATTAAGAGCCACCTTGGAATCAGAGAAGGAAACCCTGAGCCATGTGACACTCTACAGAAAACAACAAAAAACCTTTCAAGTTACAGCACAGAAGCTCTGTAGAGTTTATATTTTAAAAATCATGTTGAAATCCAGCACATACACACATACGCATGCTGTGCCTACATAAATCAAACATGTAATAAAGCATTTCCAAAGGAGCAGTCATGTCAACCTGTTGCAAAATATACAAAGAGTATTCGGGTCCATTAAAAGGTCACTGGTTGTGGCAGACAGGTGGGTAGAGCAGAGCTCACTCTGTGCGTCACCTGAAGCAAGACATTTCTACGCACTTAGATGAGGGAAATCTAAAGGCCTCTGGGAAAACTGGGTGGGATCAGCTGAGCAACCCTCTTCCTTGATGGATAAGTAGTCCCTGTTTGCCTGCTTGCAAGCCACACAGACAGAATTCTCAGTCCCAGCCTCTCCGGGGCATAAGAGAGTAGTGTGGCAGAGCCATGAAAGCACATCGTACAGAAGTGGAAATGGAAGGGAAAGAAAGCTGCTTCGATGTGGTTACCCATCAGCCGCACCACTACTGGCTTTACTTGGCACACTTGTCTGATGCAAGGGCATAATGCAGCCTTCAGAACAGGTGAAGCAGTGACAACGACTAGATGAACATTACCTGCACGCACACGCATACACACACACCTTAAAGGGGATGGGCTAGCCCACAGAACAAACTTGTAATTCTTAGCTCATACGTTAGGGAGACAGGCTGCTCCACAAGGGATCTTCCCCAGCCTAATGTGGACAGAAGAATGCCACAGGAAAAGACTAAGCCAGACAAGCAGTCTCATTACCAAGAAATTCCTCTTTAAGAAAAATATGCTTCATATTAGTTCCAAAGGAAAGCCAACTACCATATGACGGGGCATATTGATTATTTCTATAAATCTGGAGTGGCACATCACTTGCTGCCCCCACCTTTCACCCCTCAAAATAGGACGCTTCTTACATCTGGTTCTTCACGCATGGAATGCAAAATATTGATCAAGGTTAGTCAAAGCTTTACTTTTAAAGCAGAAACATACAGAAGTACATTCTAATAAAAACCCTCACAAGAGGATCTGAAATCTCCCAGAGGATTCAACCTTGTTACGGGATGCCCTCAATCCAACCAAGGCCATGGGCTAGACAGAGGAGTTGTCCAAGAGAGGGGTCGGAGATAGGAATGCAACACAAAGTTAACACTGTAGTAATATTGTTTTCCTCATGACAAAAAATTCTGTTGTGGTGAGCCTCATGAGGGGCTAGCGGAAAGTCGACACTGCAATAACATCGGAAGGGTTTCAGAAATCACCGCTGCAGAAAACTCTCCCCAAAGACAGCAGAAATCTACAGAACACTTTCCAGTGTGTATAACTAATGAGGCCACACATCAAATGCTATGGAGCAGGAGGCAATTGTGTTTGATCTGTTGCACTAGAAACAAACTTAAAATTAAACACATTTTACTTGGCACAGACTTTTGTGGACTGAAGTCCTCTTCAGTTCTCTAGAAGCTAAGACTGGATGAAGCAGAAAAGGTAGAACTCTTGACACCAACAAGATGGCATGGTGGCAGGCATGGATGTTGGATCACTTAGAGATACTTAGTGGGAAGAGACCAATGGCTGGAGAAGGTCAAAGATTGTCCTGTGAAGAACAAGGTTTGAGGTCTGAGAAAGATGGGACAGACCCAAGAAAAACTTGGCTTTTCCTCAATTCCTATTGAAGTGAAGTTCGGGGGGAAAAGAGAGAGAAATGCCGAGGAAGCTGATTCAAGTACGAGATACTTGAGGAAATAATGAATGACAAGGAGTGGATGGAAGCTAACTTCACAGGGCCAGCTGCACTGCTGGACAGAGATTCTTCAGAAAGCACCACCTGGTGTGCACAGCTCACTGCTGCTCTTGGCCTTTTTTCAGGTGTGATCGCAATCAAACGACCAGAAGGGTTCCTTGCAAGGACAGACTGACACACACTCTGTGAAGAGAATATAAGAGCTAATACAAAGGCTTGCATCTCCAACAAGGCAGCCTGAGAGACTTGAAAAAAACAGGGTTCTTAGACTATGCCAACCACCCTAAGAGCCATAATTAATTAAGACACACAAAGCAATCTGTCTCCCTCTCAGCAACTTCCAGTCCAGACATTTGCTGCACAGATTCTTTTCTTGTTGTTTAGTTGTTAAGTCGTGTCTGACTCTTTGTGACCCCATGGACCAGAGCA